TATTTAACTTTATCTGTTCTGCCAAGTTCTGTAATATCCTTAGCAAACAGATCAGCAAATTCTTCTAACAAAATTTTGAATGCTTGTCCTTGTTCTTTTGTAAGTGGTTCTATATTTACAGTATCTGTCTTTTTTAATGTATATTCCTCATAAAGAATTAAAGTATCTATAGTATATACAAAATTATACTTAAGGGTATTAGCTTGCAAAACCTGTTGCAAAGCTTCTTCTTCTGTTGGTAATTCTTCTAAATCTTCAGATAGTTTTTCATCTTGCCTAGGATAGCTCAAAAATTTTGCTGTGTGAAGACCATATAAGCATAGTATTCAGCTCGTTTCTGGTGGTGTTAAATTTGTTGTTAGAAAAATTCTATCATCTTTTCAAAAATTTCTTCCAGGTATTGAACTCTGGCTTCTAATCAGGCAATAACTTGACCTTTTTCTTCATCCTTTCTCTTCTCAAAAATAGTGTCCTCACTTATTTCAAGTCTTTTTACCATAATAGTATCATCATGGTATACTTCTTCTATAGACCATTCTGTAGTAATAATATCATTTTGGTGTATCTTTTTTGTAATTGTTTTTTTGACAGAAGGGGGTTTGTTTTTTTCTTAATAATATTCATCACAGAGATTTTGGTTAGCTTCTAGTTCAGTACTTTGTTTAGCAAAGAGGCACTCTTGACAAAGAGCTACTTTTCTTTCAAAATTTTTCCTTAGGTTCTCAATTGCTTTGCAAGTATCAAAGTCAGGTTGAGAGGTATTAAAGGATTCATTTAGGATTTGTTATAAGGTAGCCTCTTCTTCTTCTGTAAACAATACTTGCTCTGCTCGAAATAAGATAGTAATCTCTTCAGAGGTCTATTCTCTGTTATATCTATCATCTTCTTGCTCTTCCATAGCTTCTTCTATGTTTCTGTATTCTTCATCGAATAAAACTTTAACTAGACAGTAAATTCTATTTTGATTTAAATCATACTGATATTCAGCATTCCTGGTAGACTCAGTATAGTACCTGATTCTGTTCCAAATCTCATAGTTTGGATTATATTAAAGATCTGTAAAGATTTTATAAATATACATGTGTTCTAATTCACAGAACCACAATTTTTCTCATATACTTTCTATATTATGTATTCTTGATCTGGGTTTCTGAATATTACAAAGTTTGCAATGGACAAGAGTTCCTATACCAAGTCCTGTATCATAATATTCTTGGCTTCTGGAGTCTTCTGGATCAAGAGCTTCATAGTAAGTTTTATAACAAGCAGTACAAGCAAGTTTTTCTTCTAATTTGTATAGTTTGTCAGGTTGCTAAAGTATATAACAATTACAACAATAATGGGTTTTTTTTCTACTATAGTAGGTTATTCTTCTTTTTTTTATTTGGTTTTTGTCACAACTATATTTGTAAGTTAAATTATCAAGTTTAAGTTGGGCAAGAGGGCAATTAATTTCGATATGACCAAATTCATTATAGCTATAGCATTGGTTATCTGAACAATCTTTAAATAAGTGAGCAGTTTGTCCACAAGTTCTACAGTTATTTGACCTTTCACGTTTGTTGGGGCAGTTGATAAGTACATGTCCAAATTTGTTACAATAATAACATTAATTTTTGGGGCAATCCTTGTACTGATGATTAGCTTGATCACAGGTTTTGCAAGGTGATTTTCTTCATCAGGGTTGATAGGTTGTCTATTTTTGGTCTTCATCTCTTGAGGATACAGAAAATATATAAGCTTTATGGGGTGTTAGATACTCCTGCTCATATAATTCAAAGTCTTCTGCTGTGATACAGGTTGGTTTCTTTTTTTAGGTTTTTCTTGCTCATAAGAAGTATTAAGAACAATCTTCTTTCCTTTCTAATAGAGAGTATATTGGCATATTTTCTAATTATAATTGGCTTCTACTTTCTTTGACTAATTATTTCTAAACAAAATAGAGTAAGAAGTGGCTGGTACAACTTCTATATCCAAGGAGATTAGTCAACCTTAGATCCTAATAGGCAAATTTCTAATAATTTCAAGAGGTCTGGAGGTGGTGCTAGTAGTAGCGACAATAAGACTTTTTGATGGCTTCTCAATTTTAAGGCCTAATTTCTTTACAGTTTGGTGTGAGATCTTACTGACAGAGGCTCCACTATCAATAATAGCAGGATAAGTATAATCTTGGATATTAATATAGTATTTAACAGAAGTAATAGTGCTAATGGGTTGAGGCTTAGTATTTTCCTTATTGGCTTTAGTGATATAGCATATCCACTGATTTGATTTCTAGGGTCTGTATTTTGATTATCAAATTCCCAATTTTGATATAATTTAATTAAAAAAGCACTTCAAAATTTGTGTTAAATAAATTGATGTATACTATTCTACTATAGTTATTTACATTTAACCAATCATTTGTGGGGTTAACTAATTGTTTAAACTATAGGTATATTCTACAATCAACAATTGCTAATAAACCAATCTTTTTAAACTTTTAATATATAAAACTTATATATTTTACTACTGTTAACTTTTAAAGGTTTAAAATGTCTGTTACAAATAATTCAACATGATTTCGTTGTACATTTTGCAGTAATCATAAAACTTTTAAATCAAAAGCTGGGTTACAACGACATAAAACTCTAAAGCACAGTAACTATAAAGAAATCTCTACATATATTTTAATGGTTCCTGAATATGAATTGCACCATGTCAAAAATGTTATTGTAAAAGAATTACAAAAACAGTTAAAAAATCACTATTCGAATAAAGGAGAACAAGCTTTTTCGATTTATTGTAGTGAAAATTGTTTTGTTGGTATTTTTGGGCAATATTTAACTTGATATTCTGTTTGTAGAGGCTGGTACTGATGTTTTTTGATGGTGAAAAAGCGATTGATCAACTAGCAGAGATATTTGAAGATGTTCAATAGACAGTAAGAAATTATGAAAATGGGCTGCTCTTATAGATTAAATTATATAAAAACGATTTAGAAAAAACTGAAAAAAAACAAGATACTTCAAAACCAAATTTTAAACCAAAAAA